ACATCCCTGAGCATAGTTGCAGAGAAGACAGATGACGGGATAAGGCAGGGTCTAGAGTGAAAACTATTCTAGACAGGGATCTGGACTTACAAGTGCCTCATAGGAAGCAAAGTGCTCTGGCTCTGGTATCAGTGAATTAGGGGCAAAGCCAGCTTTTCTGGCTCATAGTTCCAAGTTGGACCAAGTGGATGGAAATGTTTGACTATTGAGGGAAGACAGCTTGAGAGTTAAGATCAAATTCATTCCTCAAATTACTTAGCACCTCTGTGCACCTGCTGTGGCAACTATGAATAAGTTAGCTGTGGTTCTTACTGACTTATGTTCACTTAAGAGAGACAGATGAAAAGCAAGCAGAACCACCTGTCAGTATTTATGAAGAATTGGTTCCAAAACTCCCTGAGAATATAAAAATCGGCATATAAACAAGTCTGTATTATAAAGTGGCCAGCATTTGCATAGAAATTGTGTAATCCTCCCATATACTTTAAGTCATCTTTAAATTGCTTTTAATTAATATAATACAAAATCTATGCAAACAGTTGTTAGGTTTACTGCATATAATGGTAAGAAAAAAAAGTCTAGATGTATTTAGTAGAGTCACAATTCAGTAAAAAAGAAAATATTTTTGACTTGAAGTTGATTGACTCTGTGGATGCAGAGCCTGTAATAGAAGAGCAATTCCAAATAAAAACAGAAAATAATTATTGTGTTGGTCAGCTTTCCTGATGCTGGATGAAAATGCATGACACCTGCAACTGAAAGGAATAAGAAAGGTTTAATGTGGCTTATAGTTTCAGAGGGTTCAGTCCATGCTAGGCTGACTCTGGGATAGGAACATCATAGTGGAGGGGGATGATGAAGCAAAGTGGTTCACTCATGGTGGCTGAGAAACCCAGCCCAAGGGAACACCTCAGAGAAAAAGGGGCCAGGAACAAGACACAGTCCCCAAGGCCACACCTTCTTGACCTACTCATAAACATTTAGCGTGTGCTTTGCTAATCCTGTAGGTGGCTTTTGAGTCAGTCTAGTTGATAATCAAGGTTAACCATCACGATTGTCAATTGTGGTAAGGGCTAAAATGTAACAAATAAAGCTGAAGGGAGACCACAGTCAGGAGTGTGGGATGTGCATTTCAGGTGAGAAGGTCAGGAAAGTCCCCTGTGAGTGGGTGTCATATTATACCAAGTCTGAATGGTGAGACAGAGGCCACCGGGAGGCAAGTGTGAAGGCCTTGGGGTGGGCAAGAGTTTTCTTGAGAAACTGACAGAAGGTGGGAAACTGTGCCTGAGAAAAAGTTGGAGTGATAGGGACGGAGCAGGCTCCCCAAGGCCCGGTAAGCCATTTGAAGCTTATTTCAAATGCAATGGGAGAGAAGCTGAATATTTTACATAAAAAACAATATAATACACATTTTTAAAATAAGAAATGTGGATGTCTTGTACTATGTTCTTTTTTTTTTTTTCTTTCAGTAGTGGGGATTGAACTTGGGACCTTGAGCTTGCCAGGCAAGTGCTTATGCCACTGAGCTATATTCCAGGCCTGTTTTCTTTCTTTTTTTAGCTATTAGTTATTGAAGGCTTATTGTATGCCAGGCAATGTCTTCAGGTTTTTTTATATACATTATCTTATCCAATCCTTTCAATAGTACTGAGATGGAGAAACCGTACCCATTTTCTGGATGATAAACTGAGATTGACAAAGTAAAATCACTAGCCAACAACATACACCTAGAAGGTAGCAAGGATGGAATTCCAAATGGAGGTCTACGTCCAGTGCTTGAGGCTTTAACTGCTTTGTTTTCCCTCATTTACTCACGTTTGTAACATTAAAAAATAGTTTGTGTGAGTTGGACGTGGTGGCTCACAGCTGCAATCCCAGTATTCGGGAGGCTGAGACATGAGGATGGCCCTGAATTTGTGGCCAGCCTAGGCTACATACTGAGCTCATGGCCAGCTTGAACTAGATAGCAGGACACTGTCATAAACAGCAAAGGGACTGGGGATATAGCTCAGCGGTGTAAGCACCTGGCTGGCAAGCACAAGGTCCTGAGTTCAATCTCTGGTACCACCAAAAAAAAAAAAAATCAGCTGAAAAGAAACAATAAAAAAGTGTATATATAAAATTTCTTATATTATCTATTTAAGTGTACAATTCGGTAGCATTTGTTACACTCAACTTACTGTGCAACCATCACAGGTAACTATTTCCAAGTTTTTCATCATCCCAGACAGAATGGGTATCCATTAAGCAACCACACCTCTCACCCTTCCCCTAGTTTTTTGTAATCTCTAGTCTGCTGAATATCTGTTTGTTTGAATTTGCTTACTGAAGGTATTTCATATAAGTGGAGCCAGATAGCATTTGTTCTTCACTGTATGCCCTTCTGCATAATGTTTCTGAGGTTCCTTGATGTTCTATCATGTTTCAACATTTAACTCCTTTTTCATGACTGAATAATATTCCACTGTATCCACACACCTCTTTTTATCAGTGCATCTCTTGGAGGACACTTGGGTTGTTTTCACCATTGATGATTGTGAATGAGCATTGATATATGAATATCTTTGAATCCTCGTTTTAATTTTTTAAAAATGTATATCAACAACTGGAACTGCTGGGTCATGTAGTAATTGCATGTTTTAACTTTAGGGGAACTGCCAAACTGTTTTCCACAGCAGCTACACAACTTCACACTCTTATTAGCAATGCAGAAAGGTCCCTGTGTCCCTTTATCTCTGCCAACACCTGTTTTCCTTTTTTTATTTTTTATTGTATTGTTACGGCTTGGGCTTTAACCATCCAGTGAGTGGCGTCGCATTGTGGTTTTGATTGACTTTTCATGGATGACATTGTGTATTTACTCGTGAACTTGTTGACCACTCATGGCTTTGTTTTGGAGAAACATCCATCCAACTCTTGTCCATTTTTCAATTGGTTTGTCTCTTTGTGTCAAGCTGTAGGAATTCTAAAAATATACTGTGAAATATGAATCCCTTGTGAAAGATACGATTTGCAGATACTTTTTCCCATTTTATGGGTTGTCTTTTTACTGTCTTGATAACAACCTTTGATGTCAAAAGGCTTTTAATTTGGATGACGTCCAGTTTATTTTTCTCTCAGTATGCACATTTTGGTCTTATAGCTAAAATTTCATTGCCAAATCCAAGATCACAGAGATGGGCCCTGTGTTTTCCTGCTTTCTCTCGCTTGTAAGCACCCAGCTTTCATCTAGATTTTAGCCATTGGTTTCTTCTTCAGCCACCAGGGGAAACGCCGGAAGGCCATCTCAAGGGGCTCTGAAAGGGGCTCGTAGAGCAGAGTGGAACCAAAGGCTCCCATAGTGCCCATACACCGACCATTGATGCCAAACTAATGCCCATATATGGGTCTTTCCTGGTCCCCTGTACTTCACAAAATGATGAAAGGAAGTAACATTTTCATAGAACTTCATATATCCAATTTAAGGCTCTATTATTGCTATGTAAATGGATCTTTTCCATGATAATAGAATGTTCTGATGATCAGAGGCTGAGACTAGATGGTGAGAGTTTCTTCAAATGGCTCCACTCGGCACATTAAGTGGCACAATAAACTCTGGGTCTGATTTCTAATGCAGGGGAAGAAAATATAGCTGTACTCCAAAAGTCAAAGGGTAAGAAGGCACCATGTGTGCTAGGATTGCTTTCCGTGGGCCGATGAAGCATGTCAGGAATGCCTGCCTGGGGATTCTAGGGAAGGCTTCCTGGGACCTTGCCCAGACTTTCTCAAATATCTCATCCATTTTTACTTTAATAATCATCTTTATGCAAGATTTTCAGAGCTAGAGAATGAGAAAAACAGAAGAACAAAGCAAAGCTAGTAGATCTGTCTTCGTCTGAGTTCCTCTGTGAAGTCTTTCATTGTTTCCTTCTATAGACTGCCATATGGATTTCTTTTTACTTAAGATTAGATAGAGATAGATAGATAGATAGATAGATAGATAGATAGATAGATAGACAGACAGATGAAAAAAGAAAAGAAGAGGTTCCTGCTTGGAGAGGGACAGTTTGTTCTCATGGGAAAGAACCCTTGATTGTACTTGGGGACTGAATAAAGTTGGGCTAATGAGTTCACCCTTGTACAACATTGAAATTCTCCCAAACATACTAATTAAGGTACTTTTTGTCCTTTGTCTTGGCTTTACCTTTGAAGACGCTATGAAAATGGCATGCTGCAAACTTGGGGAGCCAAGACTGGAAGCAGTAGGTTAGTCTCCGTTTGGGCATCAGTCTTGTACTAGAATGGCTTTGTCTAGAGGGTGGTCTGCAAGTTTTCTGATGACCCCCAAAGCTGGGCTGCACTACATAGTTGTGAAGTGTAGTGTTTCACTCCAGAGTTGTGCTGCGCACAATCTATGCAATTATCATTAGCGAACTGTATCACAATAAAGACAGAAATAATAAAAATGAGGATTGATGATATAGTTCAGTGGTAGAATGTCTAGTATGCATGAGGCCTAGGTTTTAATCTCAGGTACTAGGAAAAAGACAAAATGACAGAGTTATAGAGATGTAGAGATAGAGACAGATGGAGATGGAGATGGAGATAGAGAGAAGAACTGAATATGGAACTTATGGGATAACTATTTGCTTACTAATTACATACATGTTCTACTGTGAACCCACCTAGGTTACACATTGCTGAAACATATATTTAGTTTTTGTCAGTGTTGGAGCCTCTTATAAACGAGAAACCCAACCTATGAAATATGACTTTTTGAATATAAGAATAAAGCAAATAACAGCTTCATCTGTTTTCCAATGGATGGTTTTAAATACCTTATGGGGCAGGCTACCCTACCTTGGAAGCATAGTACACTGAGGAATTCCCATGGTTGTTCTTTCTGTCTCTCAGGCAGGGCAACATGTTTGTAGGGCAAGGTTGATTCCTAACAGTGGAACATTTTCAGGTCTTATCTCTCCTGCCAGGGCCTGTCTTCACCTGCTGGCTTTCCATTGCAGAATACACAGTCATTAATGAAGCCTGCCCTGGAGCCGAGTGGAATATTATGTGTCGGGAGTGTTGTGAATATGATCAGATTGAATGTGTCTGCCCTGGCAAGAAAGAAGTCGTGGGTTACACCATCCCTTGCTGCAGGAATGAGGACAATGAGTGCGACTCCTGTCTGATTCACCCAGGTAAGCATGGAATGGGAGGACAGGCTGGATTCTATTAGGCAACTGTTAGGAAGATGTGACGCCATGGGTATTAAAAGTGATGCATGACAGCTCATTCTCACTTCAGGCAAAGACATGAGTGGAGTTGGTTTGCTTTTCTCTGGTGAGGTTGCACACACGTGAATTCATCTACGCATTCGTTCACTGGACAAGAAGACCAAGCAATGCTGATGCGCCGTACGGGTTAGTGGAAGTGCAGTGATGATAAGAAATGGAAACAGCCCTAGAATTCCAAGAGCTTATAGCCCAATGAGGGAGATGAAGAATGGGTAGCTAGGATACAGTGCTAGGAAGGGGATAGAAGCACAAAAAGAGAGACAAACAGGGTGCCATAGCAGCATGGATGGGAATGGAGGTTAGGTAGCGGGAAGATCAGGGATGGATGACTCAGTAACATGTGCAAGGTAGAAACAACAAACTTAAAAGGCTGTAGTGGACTAGGTTAGGGAGTTAGGTGACAAAGATAGCAGATGCCAAGGTCCTGCGGCAAGAGATAGCATGAATTTTGGGCATTTATAGTAGCTCAATATGGCATGAGAACCATGTATGATGATAATGTGGAAAAAGGGGTACAGACAGACAGACAGACAGACAGATAGACATAGCAAGAGCAAATTAAGAGAGTAATGTAGAGGAAGGAACAAGGGCCAGATACAGAAGGGCTTGTTCTATGAACTTTAGGTATTTTGGTAAAGAGTGATGGCATAGTAGAAGTTGGGCATCTTTTAGTAAAGAGTTGAAAGGCAATTTCGTTTTTAGCTGCAGTATGGGGAAATGAACAGAGGTGGCAATGATTGGGGCAGGAGGGAAATAAGGAGGATCGTAATAAACATAGAAGCCTGATGACGTGAGACAGGTGCAGGGATGTGAGAGGCCTTAAGGACTTGGACACACTTCCAGGTGGACTGGACAGCTGAGAAAGGGGCGGAAAGAGCAGAGGTCAGGGCTGGTGCTCTGGATTCTGGGAGGGATGTTTAAGTCCCAGCTACAAGAGTGTCTTTGGATAGGTGAGACCTCCCAGCCAGTATGCTCATTCCTTTGCCTTATATTAGCCTGGACCTGACTTCTGCTATGCTGTCACGCTCTTCTTCAGAGAAAGTGGCAGTTTCCTCTTCAGTGGTTGCAGATTTAATAACTACCAAAGTTCCAACCTGGATGGAGGACAGCATGGGCCCTGAGCCTTACACAGAACAATATTCTTCCATTGGGACTGGAGCCTCATTGAACACTTTCCTGGTTTTGGAAAAGTATGGAAGTCCTGCTGCCTGATCCTTCTAACATTAGCTAGGAGGCTTGCTTTGACCTCTGTAGGTCAGATCAAAAGGAGGATGTCAAGATTTCCAAATGACATTTCCTAAGACTGAGGGATGAAAGGAAATCAAAAGAATGCTTTTTGTATTTTCTTTTCTTGGGAAAGAAAAACCATAAAGAATGATGGTCATTGCTACCAGAAACTAACTTTCTTTCCTGGGAAGCTATGAAAGAGGAAAGAAAATGAGACTCAAGTCTGCAAGTGTTACTTCTAGTCCATCTTTCTTCTTGGAAGATGTCTCAGTTACTCTTTACTTGTTGCTAGCATAAAATATCCAACACCCAAAATTAAGGAAGGAAAGGTCTATTTAGCTCACAGTTTGTGGCGGTTTCAGTCTATACTCAGCTGGCTCCAGGCAGAGTGGCACATGGCAGAGAGCAGCAGTTCATGGCAGCAGAAATCAGCAAAGAGCAAAGGGAAGGGCAGCAGCTGCAACCTCTAGCCAGCCTCTCTCCCCTCTTATATTATAATCAGGCTACCCTGGGGCTGGGGCTGTAGAACTCACATAATGTCTATGCCCTCCTCTCACACAGGATGAGGATGTTTACAAACTAAGAATCCTGTCTCTCTGCTGAGTCAATTAAACTTCTAAACTTCTCAAGTTGACACAGTGTATCAACCTGGCCTTTGAAGTAGAATTGACTTTATCAAATTGTCTCTTTGGTGTGAGAAACTGAAAGAGTAAATAGGGATCAAAATGTTAAATAGATATTGTGAAAAGGGAAGAAATGTTTCAAAAGAAAAGAAGAGCTAGGGAAGAGGAAGAGGGAGAGGAAGGAAGGGAAAAGGAAAATTAGAAAAGGATTACAAAAGGATAAAATGGAAACAAAACTTTGTAAATAGGGTGGAAAGGAGGGGCTGAAGAGTTGAAGGGAGGAAAGGAGGGAAAAAGAGAAGAGTCAAATATATTATATACAGACACAAATTCCTTGTGATGAATACAACCATTATGTATATCTAAAATGTACCAAAAATTTAAAAAAGATGTATTTTGTACAGGGTCCCACTACACAGCTCAGACTCATAGTGATTTTTCTGTTCTTAGCCTCCCCTGTGCCGGGGTGGGGTCAGTGTGGCATGCAGTGCTGGGGATTGAACCCCAGTGCCTGTTCTTGCCGAGGCAGGTGCTTAGTCCACTGAGCTATCTTGCTGGCCCTGTACCAATAAATTTTAAAAAATAAATAAAGCAGAACTGACTTGAGAGCAAAACCAGACAATGATATAAGAAATACTGGACTATATTGGATTATTTTGCTGAATTCAAGCACCTACAATAGTTAAATGGCAGTGGAATACCCATCTCTGACAAAACTAAACAAAAAAAGGGGATACAAATGAAGGATCATTTTATGTCTGTATATACAAAATAGTTAGGATAGATATACAGTTACTTTCTCTTAATCAATGAGAAGAAAGATTTGTACTAATAGCATTTGGACAGGATATCATGTCTACATCTTGTACTATGAATAACCACTAGGAAGACAACAATATGCAATATATTAATTATTGAAACTGTCCTACTAATAGGTTTTGAAATTGTCTCATTGCTATTTGTTTTTCAATAAAATTAATAAAACAAAACATAAACAAAACAACAAAGCAAAACTTCATGGCCCAATATCCTTGATACACATGGATGAAAAAGTCTTTAATAAAATAATTGAAAGCCTAATTCAATAACTCATTTAAAGGATCATCCACCATGATCAACTTGGTTTTATTCCAGGGATCAAGGGTGGTTCAACATATACAAATCAATAAATTTAAGAACCCACATAAATAGAATCAAGGATAAAAGTTGCATGGTCATCCTAATTGATGCATAAAAGTTCAACATCGCTTCATGATACCACCCATGATGAAACTAGGTTATGAAGAATTATGCTACAGTATAGTAAAGGACATGCATGATAAACCCCATATGATTCTGAATGGGAAAAACCTGAGTATATTTTCTCTAAAATCAGAAACAAGGCAAAGATCTCTTAGCATGCCTGTTCCATACAGTACTTGAAATTTTAGCTAGTGTAATTAGGCAAGAAAAGGAAATAAAGGGGATACAAATGGAAAAGAAAGAAGTTAAGTTATTCTTATTTTTAAGCCTTATGGCTTGATACTTAAATTAACATAAAACTTCACCAAAAAGGCTTTTTGAACTGATAAGTTCAGAAAAGTATCTGGGTACAAAGGCAACATTAAAAAAAATCAGTGGCTTTTCTACACATCAGTAGTGAAAAAGAAAACTGGAAGTGTATTCTATATTGCAATAGCTTAAAAAGATCCTAGGAATAAATCTAACCAAGTTGGTGAAAGACTTCTACAATGAAAGTTATAGAACATTGAAGATAAATAGTAAAGAAGATGCTAGGAGGTAGAAAACCTCCTATATTTATGGGTGAACAGAATTAATTTTATTTAAATAGCTATGTTGCATAAGTCATATGCAAATTCAGTTAAATCCTTTAAAAATTCTAATGACATTCCTCACAGAACTAGAAAAAGCAACCCTAAAATTCATCTGGAAACACAAAGACCCTGCATAGACAAAGCAGTCCTATGCAAAACGAATAAGGTACAGAACATTACAATTCCTGATTTCTAATTATTCTACAAAACCATAGTTATACGGCATACTACAGATACAAAAATAGACACATAAACAGGTGAAACAGATGCCAGGGAACAGAAACAAACCCACACATATACAACTGCCTGATTTTTAACAAAGGAAAAAAATATTCATTAGAGGGGAAAAAACAAACTATTTTATAGACAAATGGTATTGGGAAAATTGAATATCTCTTTGTACAAGATTCAATCTAGATTCCTGTCTCACACTCCATATACAACTCAGTTCAAAATGGATCCAACTTCAGCGAGAAGAAAGTTTTGAACTAATAGTGTTTAGACAAGATATCATGTCTGCATCTTGTCCTCTGAATAACTACTACGAAGACAACAATGTCCAGTGTATTAATTATTGTAACTGTCCTACTAACCTGTTTTGAAACTGTCTCATTGCTACTTCTTTATCAATAAAATTAATATAAAAATGGATCCAAGACTAGATACAACATCTGGAACTTTGAAACTGCTTGAAGAAAATGTAGAGGAAACACTTATAGCCATAGGCACAGGCAAAACTTTCTGAACAGGACCACAGGAAATGATAACAAGAACCAACAAATGGTGCTACATCAAATTAAAAAGTATCCGCACAGCAAGGGAATCAACAAAGTGAAGAGATATCAGCAGAATTGTAGAAAACATTTACTAGAAAATCTTCTGACACAGGAGTAATATGTAGAATGCATAAAGAACTAAACAATTTACTACCCCCCTCCAAAAAAAATCAAGGAGCCCAATCAGTGAATGGATTGAACAGTACAAATGACCAGTAAGTTAATGAAAAAAATGCTCAACATCTTTAGTCATTAGGGAAATGCAAGTCAAAAGTACATATGCATTGAGATTGGATCTCATTACAGCCAGAATGGTTGCCATCAAGAATAATAAAAAATAATTATGATGAGAGTGCAGAGAACAGGGATACTGCTGGTGAGAAGAGTCCCCATGGAAATCAACATGGAAGCTCCTCAATAATAGCAAAATAGAACTACCTTCTCACCCACATACACCACTCATT